AGCTCTCTCAGCCCCACCCACCTCACAGGGTGTCTGTTGTGGGGAGGGGAAGGGAAAGGAGTTTGTAAGCCGCTCTGAGACTCCAAGTGAAGGGCGGGTTATAAATCCAATCTCTTCTTCTTCTTCTTATCTGGATTGGTTTTATCTGCTGACTCTAGTTGATGGTTACCAGGGTTCTGTTGGCGGTTTTGTTTTATTGGGGCTGGATTACAACACTATTTTTTAAAAAAGAAGCATGTTCACCTTTTTAGTAACTGTACACTGCCTTGGACACCCTTTAGTAGGGAAATTATCTATTAAAAATATTAAGTAGAAGCCGAGCCACTGGAACATGAAAGTGCTTTATACTGAATCAGACCCTCGGGCCATCAAGGTCAGTCTTGTCTACTCAGACGCAGTGTCTCAGGTCAAGGTCTTTCCCATCACCTCCTGCCCGGTCCTTTCAACTGGGGATGCTGGGGATTGAACCTGGGACCTTCTGCCTGTCAAGCAGAGGCTCCTACTGTTCCTCCTCCTGCTAGGAGACGGGAAGGAATAACCAGGGTAACCCATCTTCTGTAATCAAAACCCCATTGTTTCCTCTGACTTTCTTCCCCCAACAGACTTCAATCTACGACTGGATGTTTCCAATCCACAAGTGCCAAAAACAGAGTCTGAGGCCGAGACGAGACGCCAGAGATGTCGCCAACAGTGCTTAGAGCCACCAACAAGAGGTAGGCAGGCTTTGCGTCTAAACAAGAAGAGGAGGAGGAGATTGGATTTATACCCCGCCCTTCACTACCCAAAGGAGTCTCAGAGCGGCTTACAAACGCCTTTCCCTTCCCCTCCCCACAACAGACACCCTATGAGGAAGGTGGGGCGGAGAGAGCTCTGACAGAAGCTGCTGTTTTTCAAGAACAGCTGTGCCAGAACCATGGCTTGCCCAAGGTCATCCGGCCAGGTGCAAGTGGAGGAGTGGGGAATCAGACCCGGTTCTCCCAGATTAGGGTCCGCGCACTTAACCACTACCCCAAACTGGCTGTGGAGAGGAAGTGTTGATGTTGCAGCTTTGAGGGAGCCTTCTAAACCTTCTGGTCTTGTGTCGATGAGGGTTCTGTTTTAGTTCTGTTTTAGTTATGCATTGAACAGAATCCGGGGGGGGATGGGGGGATGGGTTACAGCAGACGGCACACAAGCGTTCACCCCCCGCTGAGACGGAACGCTTGAGCTAAGTTTATCCTTCCTTACATAACTCTCTCCCTTGCGGCCCAGCACGGCACCTTGTCACCCGCTGCCTCAACCTCAAGCTTCTCGCCCTCATTTTTCGTCTCTCCATCTCGCCTTTTTCGGTTCTGCCTCCTCATGCCTGAGGGGTCCTGTTGTTCTGAGCTGGTGGATCAACTCGGGTTCAG